TGTAAATTATCTTTTCATTCCAGGATATTCTACGCACATTATTGGCAAATGGCACCTTGGCTTCTTTCGTTGGCCTTACACCCCGTTATATCGTGGCTTCGACTCCTTTTACGGTTTTTACGGTGGATATGAAGATTACTACAGCCATGAAAATGAGGGAATCCTTGATTTGCTTGACAACAAAAAACCCGTAAGAGATAAGAGTGGAGTTTATTCGGCAACGCTGTACGCTGAGGTACTTACAGACTTCCAGATTGTCAGGAGCTTATAACTCGGAGACAGCAACTCCCATACTAGGCCTATGCAAAGGCTTTTTTACGGACCAGTTTATTTTAAGACACTTTTTACTGCGTAGGGCACTTTTTACTGCGAAAATGGAGTCTCCGCCACGTCTATGAACATTCGAAGAACAAGATACCAAAAGGAATACGCAACGTCATTAAAAGGCAAAAATTATCATTTTTAAGTCTGTAGGTTTTGTCGATTGCTTTGTGGGACTTAAAAGATATCCTCAATTCCCAGCAAAACCGTTCTCAAAATAAACTGGTCCATAAAAACGCCGTGACACGAGTACATGGAAGTTGCTCGCCTCAGGTTATGGGCTCCTGAGATTGTTAAATAGTACTCATTACCAAAATACAGTAGAACCCAATAATATGACTTTTCCTCCATGAAAATTTGACCGTAGTCACCGGTTTAGTGTCCTATCTCCCTCCAAGGCGAGGGCTGTAAGGCTCAATTTTTGCGAGGCCTAAAACAATTAGAGTGCTTTAGATTCTATGACGAGCTGGAGTTGAATTATAAAAGCTAGTACGACTACGAGAACGAAATTTCCTCAATACTAAGTAGTGCGCGCGCGTGAACCAGCGTCATTTTGGCGGGAAGACTTGGTAGCCGTCGTCATTCTACTACGAGTTTTAGCGAGAATGTCGCAATCAGAAAACTAGGTTGTCAAATGGTAGAAGATTTATCATTTTACGATCAAGAGAGGGCTTAACCTCCTTCAATATAGCCGCAGTGCTATCTTTTCTAACGAAAAAAAAAAATAAAACTGAAGCTTTCCGGGGTGTCTATTTTTTGAGGATAGGCGAAAAAACTTTTCGTTAAATCTCGTACTCGTAGTCGTTCTCGTCCTGGAATCTAAAGTTCTCTATTGTCTGAGTTCGCATCCAGACCGAACGCAATGCAAGCTCGTTGTACTCAGGTTGTCTTTATGCATAAATATATGACGATAGCGTGCCCTACAGTTCCCTACTGATATATACAGCTATTTCGAGAAAGGTCGTCGGATAAAGTGCACGCGACAACTCCGAAAGGTATTGTGGGTGGTTTTGAGTGCACTGTTTTTCAAAGAAATTTGAATGAATGGCAGGAGATGCCATGGACGTATGTCTGCGAGTGCTAAAGGAAAGCAACAGTGTATTGAACATATCCCATATAACGTTTCGGGATTGTCGCGTGCACATTTTTTCCGACAACCGTTCTCGAAATAGCTGTATATAAAAAAAACCTTGACAAACTCGTCTGTTCTTTTTGCGCCAGTATTGGTGATCAAGAAATGCTTGGGGATGAATCTCGATGGCAGAAGTATTTCACATAGAAACTGGTCAGTAATTTGTTTACCCACGAAACTCTTAGGAGTTTCTAAGAAACCGTCCTGTCGGCTTCGAAATATAAGCGAAAATCAAGTTAAAAGAACATTTCTAAATCAGTTTATGACTTGGTTTCTTTTTCTATTAAACAGCAAGCAAGAAGAGTGATCCTATCGCACAATACATCCAAACCCTTGTTTTTATACCTTCCATTTCAAAGTGTGCATGGACCATTAAGCGTTGATCTAAAATACGAAGAGAAGTATCGAGGAATTCGCAACAAGGCGAGGCGAACTCATGCTGGCATGGTCGACATTATGGACGAAGCGATAGGAAACGTCACAGAAGCTATGAAAGAGGCTGGGTGAGTCGTCAACGGTACAAGTTCGTTAATAGAGACTTTTCACATTCTAAGGCAAAGTCGCCTACAAGGACAAGGTTTTACTGCGCGCGCAGGAACCAGAGTGGCTGGAAAACTTGATAGCCATCGTCATTCTCTTACGAAGTGTACTGAGCTAAAGTTTGCAATTCTGCGGAAAACAAAAAGCTGCAAAATTCATTCCGGGCTATAACCAGGGACCCGGTTCTCGAAAGGCCTGGTAATGTTTGGTGTTAGGGCGGAATAGCATCAGATAAACATGAAAATTTGGTTCAACATTTTCAAGTTCCAGTCCACGTCTATTCTTGCCATCCGTAGCAACAGTCGACAGAAGACAATCTCGATGCCTGAACATAGTCTTCAATTAGAAAACAATGAAAAGACAGCCGCAATTAGCGACGTCACCACTGGTTTTTCCGTTAAATGACTGTAATGACTTCTGAGAAACGAGCGAAGAAATTCCATACTGATGGCGTGTTACTACCCAGATCAGGGAAGTGCTTCTGATTGGTTCAAGCAAATTTCTCACGCGGCACGACCAATTAGAAGCACTACCCAGATTTGCATGGGTAGTAACGCGTCATCAGTATGACGTCATCAGTATGGAATTTCTTCCGTCACTGCTCCTCAAACGTCAATTCGTGGGGAAACCAGTGATAGCGTCGCGAAATTGACTGACTTTTTATTAAGACTCATTGCAGCAATATACAGAATGGCTGAATTACAGAGCTATTTACAAAACATATAATACTAAAATATAATACAATAATCGCGCTCTGATTGGCCGAGAGGAGTGTTTGCATGAGAGTATGTAAACATGGTTGTGGCGTCAAGTTGTTTGGCTTTTCGCGCGCTAATCACGCAATCACGAATTTGAAAAAGTTTTCGAGTTCAAAACTCGGCAAGTTTCCTTTATTTAGCCATTCCTTCGTCGGCTGAAACATGGAAAATCGTTACAAAGAAGGTGAGTCAATTTTTCTTCGCTTAAGCTGACATTTTAAGCGACAAAAATCAGTATTTTGCAAAGCACTTTTTGCAAAACAAGAGCTGATTACGTGTGCAAGACTTCGTGGACAAGATTTTGTGACTGGTAAGAATTTCTCTTTTAACCAGTGCCATACAAAGAGTTTTGCGTTTTTTTGTCGGGAAAGTTATTTTATAAAAGCAATAGAAACCTTTTTTCTTGTGTTTTTCCCGCCCAATCCATTTTTTTGAGAGAAAAGCCCTGGGGACGAGGTTGGTGTTTGCATAGCCGGTTATAAACACTCGAAGCGTTGGGAGAATTCGAGACAGTTATGCAAACCCGAGACGAAGTCGAGGGTTTGCATAACTGTCTCGAATTCTCCCAACCCCTCTCGTGTTTATATCAGGCTATGCAAACACGGAAAACGTTTTCTATTGCTTAATTAGTACTCATTACCGAAATACAGTAGAACCCAATAATATAACTTTTTCTCCATGAAAATTTGACCTTAGTCACCGGTTTAGTGTCCTATCTCCCTCCAAGTCGAGGGCTGTAAGGCTCAACTTTTGCGAGGCCTAAATTAGAGAGCTTTAGATTCTATGACGAGTACGACTACGGGAACGAAATTTCCTCAATACCAAGTAGTGCGCGCGCGTGAACCAGCGTCATTTTGGCGGGAAATCTTGGTAGCCGTCGTCATTCTGCTACGAGGTTTAGCGAGAATGTCGCAATCAGGAAACTAGATTGTCAAGAAGTTAGAAGTTTTATCATTTTACAATCGAGAGAGGGCTTAACCTCCTTCAATATAGCCGGATGAGTAACAGTGTTATCTTTTCTAATAAAAAAGTAACGTACAATGAAGCTTCCCGGGGTGTCTATTTTTTGAGGATACCCGAAAAAACTTTTAGTTAAATCTCGTTCTCGTAGTAGTTCTCGTCCTGGAATCTAAAGTTCTCTATTTTCTGAGTTCGCATCCAGCCTAAACGCAATGCAACCGCGTTGTACTCAGTGTGCCCTACGGTTCCCTACTGATATATACAGCTATTTCGAGAAAGGTCGTCGGATAAAGTGCACGCGACAACTCTCAAAGGTATTGTGGGTGGTTTTAAGTGCACTGTTTTTCAAAGAAATTTGAACGAATGGCAGGAGATGCCATGGACGTATGTCTGCGAGTGCTAAAGGAAAGCAATAAAAGTAGGTTCGACAGCTACAGTCTCAGGAACAGTGTATTGAACATATCCCATATAACCTTTCGGGATTGTCGCGTGCACATTTTTCCGACAACAATTTCTCGAAATAGCTGTATATAGAAAAAAAAAACTTGAAAAACTCGTCCGTTCTTTTTGCGCCAGTTTGGTGATCAAGAAATCCTTGGCGATGAATTTCGATGGCAGAAGTATTTCAAATAGAAACTGCTCAGTAATTTGTTTACCCACGAAACCCTTAGGAGTTTTTAAGAACCCGTCCTGTCAGCTTCAAAATATAAGCGAAAATTAAGAGAACATTTTCAAATCCGTTTATGACTTGAGTTTCGTTTTCTATTGAACAGCAAGCACGAAGAGTGATCCTAGCGCACAATGCATCCAAACCCTTGTTTTTATACCTTCCATTTCAAAGTGTGCATGGACCATTAAGCGTTGATCTAAACTACGAACAGAAGTATCGAGGAATTCGCAACAAGGCGAGGCGAACTCATACTGGCATGGTTGACATTTTGGACGAAGCGGTAGGAAACGTCACAGAAGCTATGAAAGAGGCGGGGTAAGTCGTCAACAGTATAAGTTCGTTAATAGAGACTTCTTACATTCTCAGGCAAAGACGCCTACCAGGACAAGGTTTTAGTGCGCGCGCAGGAACCAGAGTGGCGGGAAAACTTGATAGCCATCATCATTCTATTACGAAGTGTACTGAGCGAAATTTTGCAATTCTGCGGAAAACAAAAAGCTGAAATATTCATTCCGGGCTATAACCAGGGACCCGGTTCTCGAAAGGCCTGGTAATGTTTGGTGTTAGGGCGGAATAGCATCAGATAAACATGAAAATTGGGTTCAACATTTTCAAGTTCCAGTCCACGTCTACTCTTGCCATCCGTAGCAACAGACGACGGAAGACAATCTCGATGCCTAAACACAGTCTTCAATAACAAAACAGTGAAAAGACAGCCGACAATTAGCGACGTCACCACTGGTTTTTCCGTTAAATGACCGAAATAACGTCTGAGAAACTAGCGAAGAAATTCCATACTGATGACGTTTACTACCCAGATCAGGGAAGTGCTTCTGATTGGTTGAAGCAAATTTCCCATTCGGCACGACCAATTAGAAGCACTACACAGATTTGCATGGGTAGTAATGCGTCATCAGTATGACGTCATCATTATGGAATTTCTTCCGTCACTGCTCCTCAGACGTCAATTCGCGGGGAAACCAGTGATGGCGTCGGGAAATTTCGTTTGTTGTTTTAGCTTTTTAGAAAGATAGCAGATAGCTTGACATAGTCCCCTAAACAACACTTCTTATGAAAAGGTTGTACTTCTTTGCTTTCGTTTCAGTTTATGGAACGAAACCTTGACGATTATAACTACTGATAATGGTGGCAATCCTGATAAAGGTGGATACAACTGGCCCCTCCGGGGACAGAAAGACAGCCTCTGGGAGGGAGGGGTCAGGGGAGTTGGTCTAGTTCACGGAAGGATGCTTCAAAAGACTGGGGTTAAGTACAAGGAGCTCTTTCATGTCACTGACTGGTATCCGACTCTTGTTAATCTTGCAGGTAAATTAAAAAATTTGTTAACTTCCATCTTTTTTTAATAAAAGAATTTAGCTAACAAATATAGGGACCAGTACAGAAGCCAACGAAATTAAGGCTAACAGAATAAGTGAAAACTAAACTACACAAAGCAAGTTGACTCGGCGAGACCGACCGTAGAATGACACGCATAAATAAACGGTCACTCTACATCAAACCCCGTAACTGCGATCCCTTGCGCGCTACACTAGAACCCAGTTCTCAGTTCCGTGTCAGCAAAATAATAATTTATGTCAATTCTAATTTACACAAATTATATAATAGGAGTTAAACTTGGAAAAGTTGGCCAGATGTTTTCAAGTTGCAAAACGTTTTCATCCTAGCCGAAGGTTTTACATGGCCTTCCTAAGTATCTGTTAACTAGACTACAGGCAGTTCAGAATGCTGCAGCTCGTGTTGTCACATTGACACCGAAGCATGTTCATATAACTCCTATTTTAATTAATCTTCATTGGTTACCAGTTGAGTTTAGAATAACTTTTAAAGTCCTTTTATTGGTATACAAGGCCCTTCATGGCCTTGCACCTTCTTATATTTCTGACCTTTTGAATTTTAAAACATACTCTAGGTCATTGCGTTCTTCATGTAAAGAATATTTAGTGGTTCCAAGAAGCAGATTGAAAACATATGGAGACAGAGCTTTCTCTATTGCAGGACCTAAATTGTGGAACGATTTACCTCTAGAGATTTGGAAATGTGCTTCAGTGGCAACTTTTAAGCAATCCCTTAAAACTTTTTTATTTAAGTTAGCATATAGGTTATGAGATTCCTTTTGTTTTAAGATGTTTTTGATTTATATAGTAGATAACTTAGGCTATATTTGAATTATATTGTATATTGTAGATATTTTATAATTTAGATCTTTTTTTTATATATATATTCTTTTTTGTAATTAGGTAGCGCTTTGGACAATTATTGGATTTTAGCGCTATATAAATAAAATTATTATTATTATTATTATTATTATTATTATTAGCCATCGAAAGAAAAAAGTAGTAGAGTAATTTAAAATAAAAGTTAGCCATCGTTTCATTTTTTTTCCAATGTGCTTTTAAAGAGATCGTGACATTGACAATAAAAGGTCCTGTGAAACGCCCTTTCCTAAATGTCGAAGACCCAAAAAGCTAGCTAACTTATTAAAGACGTTTTTGTTACGACGCAATTCAACCGGAAAAGGGCTTTTTGCATTCTTGGGCAATGGTTGTGCATATGTTTTCTGGCTAATTGTCCCTTTAAAGTAAAGAACTAGTTATCAAAGCAAATTTGGTAGCATTACGACATATTCAAAGTAAAAGAAAAAACCGTGGGGCGACTCCCATATATGAAAGGGGCAGGGATGCTCGTCGTTAATGTTGAATTAAACCCCAAAGGAGACCAATCTGGGCATGGCCCAACCTTTTTTCACCCCTAAAATAACTTTGATTGCATGAATCGAGTAAATAATAATCTTTTATATTTCTTCACGTGCAACCCTGAAAGAGACCTTTACGGCTAAATATAATGGCATTTTGCCGAGAACACCCCAAGTGAGAACAAAACCCGAAAATTTACTCCCCCACAGGGAGAGAAAAGGGCTCACTTCTTGTTGCCGTGCGTCGCTCAAAAACGTCTTTGCTTTAGCTCCATACTATCTCAACCCAGGATGGTAGCAAAATTTTGTTTACGCTCAGGTTTAACACATATTTTGTTCTTCCCAATGACTGTTAGATCGATCTCTTGACCAAAGACACACTGACGCTGCTATTCGACAATTGGATGGCTTTAACATTTGGCGCAGTTTATCCGAACGGGATCCATCGCCACGAAGGGAGATTGTACATAACATTGTTGACCATAAGGCAGCAATTCGTGTTGGAGACATGAAGCTGATATTAAATGAAGACGATACAGAGAGGTATATCCCACCAGAGCTGGTTGGAAGTATTCCAGCTGAGCAAGTAGAAAAGGTAATTTCTTGGTTGTCACATGGCTGTCTTATTGACTTTGTTAAGTTTGCGAACAAATTACTTGCAAGCCACAAAATCGCAGCTTCTTGTCCAACTAGTATAGTTTCTAAGCATTATACCAAATTTTAAACCAACAAACAAAAATAAACTTTTAAAACTACTGCTAAGCTAACAATTTTCAAAAACCCACCGCAATTTCAATCCGTTTCAATCTTCTTCAAGTTTGCCACTCCGTGCCTAATTTTGTCTTTGCTGTGTTGTAAACCCCTTCTTTTAATGTTTTGAGCAATTGCCTTTTATTTTTCACTCAATTTTAGTGGCAGTTCGCAAGTTCGTATTATTAGAATTTTGTGAAAATTCGTAACACATCTCCTGTAACGTTTTTCTTATGTAACATTTACTTTCGTTTAAGTCACAATAAATTTGCATAGTTGCTGGCCACGTGAGTGTAAAAGCTCTATATTAAGGAGAAACAAAACAATCTGGTCCCCTCTTTCCCTCCCCCAGTAAGGAAGGGTTGGATAAGTTATTGGCCCTTGCAGGCTCCTCGGGCTGTAATACTATTTAATGAAAGGGAGAAATAGGGGGAGAAACCGTCTTTGCGTCACAACTGAGTTACGCGCCGATTCTGTGATGAGTTTGGGTTATTGTAGATATGAGTTTTTTTTTTATTCCGGTGACAGAAACAAGTACTCTGTTCTTTTTATCTAAACCATTTCTTGAAACTAAAGACTATTTCAGTATTCAAATTCACCGTATGTAACGGAATGCGAGCCGGGAATCATCTTAATAGGCTCGATCTTGGATTCTGGATTCGGGATTGGAGTTACTGGATTTCGGATTCCTTTTCAGTGGAACACGGATTCCGGATTTCAATCGTTATACAGATTTCAAAGCCCAGGATTCCGGACTCCAGAAGCAAAATTTTTCCGGATTCCAAAGTTCAGATTTTCTTACATAGGGCGATACTCAAGCACTTCCTTTCTTTCTTCTATACCACCACTAAAAACACAAATTAACAATTGATGAATGAGGCTGAGTATTTTTGATACGAAAGCCGAATTCAATAATTGTTTAATTATTCATTCAAAATCAGTCCTAGTTTAAAAACAGAGCTAAAACGTGCTTACCTCCATCGATGTTTAGTTCACCTTCGATAGTGCTCGTTTAGGGTTGTTCAGCTTCGCAAATATTCTCCAAACAGCAGATGTCGCCATTCGAGTTGTGTTCTTTCTGTTCTTGCCATGTTTTTAGCTATAATTTCGCCTAGTTCTTGCCTTGAAACGAGTGAAATGTCCGCCATTTTTTGTTTTCACAACCAAAACAACTCAACCTCGTCCCCAGGTCTTCTCGGTTAACGGTGCATTAACCTGCAAGAACGCTGCATTTTTGACGTCGTTTCCTCGTTCAACACAAAATTCTTCCAAATTTGGTCATCAGTAACTGATTATGGTGAATTATGCGTGTGCTTTTAGCCAATCAGAATCGGGGAAATATTTTGAATGAATAATAAAAACCATTTAAGTATTCAAGTAGTCACTTTTCTTGCAATTTCTATCTCCAGGGATACTGTTCCAAAAAAGTTATTAATGTGGGCCTTTACAACATTAGCGCCGATCCATATGAGATGGTAAACCTTCGAAAGAAGTTCCCGGATATTGTGGAGGCATTGATGACTAGGGTGGAGTACTATAGACAGGGTGTTGTACCCCCCGAGAATCAGCCTTCCGAGAGTATAGCAAGGATAATGGCTCGTATGAAGGGATACAGGGTACCATGGAAAGATTGAGGATTAACCGGTGTTTTTAGCGGATTAAAGTGCTAGTGTACACAGCCAGGGCGGATTGATTAATGATAAAAAAAAACTAGCATGTAGACTTAGACAGAGCTAAATGCGATCCGTTTATGCGTTTATAGCGGAGCTCCACCCGCGCGCGAAGCGCACCCTTTGGCGGAGCCCCATAGCTAAGGAAACGTGGTAATCTACCCATCCCAGAAAATTTGGTAATCACGTGACCGTACACCGAGTGAGCGATCGAGCGAGCGACCGTCCGTCCGCACCACAGGCATACCAATGTAAAATAACTCAATCAACAGGTATGGGAACCCAAATGCAACTCAAGGTTTTATTTGGAAGGAAATCACATGGCCGCCGGGACTTATAGAAAGAAAAAAGTCGTGTCTTTTTCGGCGTTATTTTTTATGTGTACACTAGCGTGGATAACAGAGAAAAGGCTAGAGCGAGTTAGTGAAAATTCGTTGGAAGAAAAACATGGAAATTCAAAGCGGCGGAGAGAAAATGAGAAATGCTAGCGGCCAGCAAGGTGAAATGAACGGCAGTGAAAAATAAAAGCGAACATGAACACCGGAAACAAAATATTGGGTAAGCACATACGACAATTTCTCCATAAAAATAGTGTGTAACTAGGAAGTTTGACGTTTTAGTCGTACAAAACAGTGTTGTAGTCGTGCAAAACAACGGCAAGGGAAAGACAAAAAAGCGTCCTGCACGTGCAAATTTGCGTTTTGCTAATTAGAAGAAAAAGTGTGCTGCACGTGCAATTAGTTTTTTTGCTAATTAGATCTATTAGTCTTGAAGCCATTTTCATTGCCGTCCCCCGTTTAGCGATACACGATTTAATTTTTTTTGTTTATACGCATTATTAACCAGAGGTTCGCTTTTAGCCCTGACTAAATCTATTTAGTATATACTAAAACAGTGGATAGTGTTTTTCGCGCCCTCTGATTGGCTACTCAATCAGTGAATATCCTGCACTATTCACCGATTCACCTCCGGTTCCTCCGAGCGAGCGACGCTAAACTCGCGTAAGTTGCGAGCAAAATGCTTTCCCGATTTGCTGCCGATAACAAACAAAGAAATTTCATAACTAATCAAGCTAGCTGTTCCCGAAATACCCGAAGAAGGTGACGAAGTTCGGATTGGAAGTTTTAACAGGTAAAGCTTTGTCTTTTTGACACGAATTTATCGATAAAACCGGTGAAAAAGTTTTTTGTTTACAAATGCAAATTAAGTTTAAGTCTTGCTTACTTTATTTATTTGAGTTGTTCATAAATAAGCTTAAAACTAAATTTAATAATCTTTTTTTATAGAATGATTTTAAATACAAAAAGAATTCACAACTCCTTTTGAAGAAATTTCCCCGCAAGAGGTAAACAAATGCCTTCAAATGTTTTAATTGTCAGCAAGATAAAGCGACGGCCGCGGCCGCCCGGTCATTACGCGCCAAAATTGTAATCATTGGCAACAGTATTTGAGTTAAAAATCGTCATTTTTGTGCTCAATTATGTCACTGTTTTAGTATATACTAAAACAATTATTCACCTCAGTGTCGGTGGCTAGTCGTGGATATTTACCTCACTGCTTCGCAGTTCGGTAAATATCCAGGACTAGCCACCTCCACTTCGGTGAATAATTGTTATATATTAATATACTTCAGACAGTAAACTTGGAACCATTGAAACTGAAAAAATCCATATTTACCTTAAGGGAAGAACCATGTGACTTTCAAGGACTACAACCCTGGTCAAAACATCTTGGAACACTTGAGGAAACAGGTGCGAAGACGCACTTTGTTATATTAACTCGTGTTGTACAATGTAAAGGAGGTTTGTTTTAAAACAAGGCCAACTTCAGCCTCACGTTCGCTCAAACGCTAGGACACTAAGCCCACAACTTTACAATGGCAGGAGGGAAATTGCCTATCGTAAACGTCCGCTTATAAGCACCCCAGTTACAGGCCCATCGACCTGCAAATAAAAAAAATACATCCAATTAGAAGCCAGCCTCCCCCCTAGCTTGTATTCGACTTTTTTACGACGTTACGAAAGAGCTTTAAAAAGGGTATCAATTCAAAAACTATTTGAATCAGCACTGCTATGTGACTTGTTTTGAAACCGCGCTTTTTTTTAGTCCGGTTAAAAGACCTCCTTAAACCCCTTACGAAGTTCTATAAGCCCAGGGCTTATAAAGCAGAAGTTTATAGTACTCAAAAACTCGCATTCTCCTTCACTTGGCTCACAGGTTATAATAATACTTATTTACTTTTTCCAAAATATTAAAGCGATACTTATTCTGAGACAAGGAATGTTTAGATAGCAAAATCTCCCAAAATCGGTAATGTTTTTAGGGACGGACCATTAGAAAAGTGATGGGGGGAGTGGGGAAAAAACCAAAAAAAAATTATGCAAGGGAAAATGCCAAGAAAAAAAATTCATGCAAAGAAGAAGGTAAAGAAAAAAATAAATGCAGAAGGAAGGTCCAATTGTGACTTTTTCAGAAAGTCTGAGTTTTTTTCAGAAAGTCTGAGTCTCAGAAATCAACATTATTACAATATGAATAAACAAAAATCACTTTCTTCTTATTGAAAGGAGACAATTAGAAACTTGCGTTTGTTTTAAATTGTAGCTAGTGTACCTACAACATACACTTGTTCTCACTTAGGTGAGAAACGGAGAACAATAGCGCATTGTTTGTTTATTAAGCCGACAACAATCAAATTTCAAACCTTTTGTGTTTTTTTTATTTTTGTCTTGGTATTTTTTGGGGGGCCAGTACACTTGTCAGAGCGGCAATGGATAGTGACGACGAAATTTTCCTAACGCAAAATACTTTCTCTCAGGAGCCTTTAAGGGGACTCAACTTAAACCTTCTCAATCACCCTCACTTTAGAGAAGTAAGCGAACGAGATAGTGTTGAAGTCGAAAAGAAAGAAAATCCTGGGCGTAATATCATTGTTGTTTGTGATAACGAAGTCGAGAAGAGAAGAGAGTCCAGAATACCGGCAAACACGAAAGTTAATACTTCATGGGCGGTACGTTGCTGGGAGGATTGGGCCGTCGAACGCAATGTAAAAGTTAGAAAGAATAGCTGCAAAGAGAAATACTACGAAGTCAATCCTGACATTAAGAAAGTCCCTAATGAGCAGCTTGACTACTGGCTTGGGACGTTTGTTTTGGAAATTCGGAAGAAGAAAGAACCTGGAAGCGTGTATCCTCCTAATACCCTGTACCAGATGTGTTGTGGTTTACAGCGGTTAGTTGCGGAATAAATTTCTATATTTGTGTTACAGGGAGAAATTTTCTCAGAATGTTTGGCGGGGTCAGAGGACGTGTATGATTTACTTTAATTGCTCATTATAAATGGAAGGGATTTATTTGTATATTGCCCAGGGCAGCAGGGCAATATACAGATAAATACCGGGTATTTATATAGATATTGTCCTTGCATTTATAATTAGCAATTTATTCAATTCATCAGCCCCGCTCTTCCCTGCTACATTGTCAAGCCCTCCCCGGACTTTTAGTTAGTTAACTCAGTATTCATGAAGTATGTAAGTTAAATAAAGGATGTTGAATAACAAAAGAAAATGTGTGATTCATGAAATAATTATCCATAAACAGTTTCAATATTAAACTTTTCAACATATAAAATTATAATAAAAATATAAATGTTAGAATTTGGTCAGGCTTTGTAAATATTCTATAAAATTATTTTTGCCCACAAAAAAATTAGAGTATGTGTCTTATCGCCTTGGAAAATGTTTCTATAGTAAAATGAAAAAGTGCATTTACATGTAGTAGAAGTGTTAAAACTTTAACTGTTACCAACATTAACTAGGCAACAACATAAACAGCAACATGAATGATAATGAATCAAGGTTTCACTGTTAAAAAAAAAAGCAATATTTGTCTGAAAAAAAAAATTCGTGCAGAGGGGTTCACCTGAAAAAAAATTCCTGCACAAGCAGTGAGCGAAAAAAAAAAAATTCGTGCAAGCTGAAAATTCCCTCATGAAAGTAGAAACTCAGAAGAATCGATAGTTTCTTAGTTTGATTTTTGGTTACGTCATGTGTAAACCAACCTAAGGTATGTTTATTAACTCATGTGACCTGCTCTACTTGATCGGCCGCTTCTGATAACACTTGGGCATGATTAAAAGACAACACTTCATATAAATAAGGCGAATACAGTTTAACTAAGTATTCCCCATTTTCAGTCGGAAACATTTTGACCATTACAAGACGAAGGTGAGTCACGTGACTTGACTGACAATGAGAAAGCTCATGAAATGGATGCAAATGTGGAAAGGAAACTGCTTGCCAAGTTTAACAATGATAAGGGAAATGTTTCTACTTGAAATCAAAACCCACTAAATTCGTGGTTGAGTCAAGCCTTGACACATGCATAAGAGTATATTATTTTACATTCATTTAGCTAACTAATATTCTTTGATAGACGGCAGGCCTTTTTCCCAACTCAGTAGATCATGTGATGTTCTCAAGGATATTTGATCCTCTGAAAAATTATAAGTACACAAGACACGTGACTAACACGCATCGGTTGCAGCCAATTATGAATAAGTATATCAGACGAACGGGTTCAGTTCGCGTTTAGCAGTTTAAAATATCTTGACTTCACTTACTGCATGCAGCAAAACCAGCATCACAAGCAAGGAGAAAATGAATTCGAGATGTTTTAAAGTTTTATTTCTCACGCTCATCATATCTGTCCGTCCAGCTGTTGCTACTCCTTTTCATATTTTGCTGATAGTTGTGGATGACTTAGGGTGGAGCGATGTAGGGTTTCACAACCCACAGATCAACACCCCGAATATAGATCACCTTGCTTCTAAAGGAGTAATACTTGATAATTACTATGTACAACCTACTTGTACTCCAACCAGAGCCGCTCTTCTTTCCGGGATGTACCCCATACACACAGGTAAATATACATTGAGTATTGTGTTTTATATTCAGCTGAGGTGCGGAAATTAAGCAATTCTCATTTTGATTTCAAAACCGACGTCAGTCGCAATCACAGAACATACCTGCTTATCAGTCACTCAAATCAGTAAGGTTAAAACTCAAAGTTTTCTAGCTTTAAATAATCTATTTTGACTGAAGAGAAAAATAATTGGAAGGATTCATTACGCAGTGGGAGCTAGTTCAAGGTCGCTGGCTTTCAATTATATCGCCATGCACTGCTACATTTCGCTAGAGTTCTTCTAGGTAGCTCTGAAACTCCGTCTTTTATGAGTTCTTAAATCACTAACTGGTTTTCATTCGGCCAGTTGAAACTCTAAATTCCTATTTTTTGCTTGCAACATTTAGCAAATTGAGTCGCCATGAGTTTAGTGACCATGAAAAAAAGGGTAATTGACGTGCGTTGTCAGAAAAAATGTTGACGAAAAATCTTGTTAACGTTATGAAAAATGCCTTATGTTTCTAGTCATCATTGAAGTGAGACATTTGCTCCTCCAAAAGCTGAATTCGAATGGGGGCATTTAAGTCAAATTAACATATAAGATTTTAGATAATAGACCATTGTTGTCTCTCTTGTGCCTATCAACTATAGTTGTGGCGAGGCCCGGTATCACTTGTCAAGAATTATCTCTTCCTTCTCTGAATTTTTTGAGCAATGCGAAATAAACATAACAAGTTTTCAAGGAACTTTTCCATCTCTAAAACAGGAGGGCACAATGATGAAAAACTATTTGAAAGATGAAAGAGGAAAGAGCAGCAATCTTTATCCATTATACCAGACCTTAATTAATATTAGTACGATGGATATTCAAATTTTTCGCTTTTCTGTGTGACATGAAATTTCCACGGGGATCTCTAATATTCGGAAATAATAATATCGCGGATTCCAAAAAATTTCTTAAATTTAAATCCACGAAAATGGCTGTCCGAGAACGGTAAAAAAAAGGAACGCTAACAGAGTAAGTAAATTTCTTTCCCTTGCGTCAGTTTCAAAATAAATCAGTCGAAAGGGTAATTAAACAAAGATTAAAAATAGAGTGTATATCAAAATGATTAGAGAGGTTCGAGAATGGGCAGGGATTGTTTCTAGCATTAGAAATTACCATGGTTTCAATTCAAAGAGTCCAAAAACTAAGGCTGCAGAGCAGCTGACGTACGTAGACGCCATTCTTATTTAATTTCAAAACTCCAGTGATAATCAAAGGAAATACTTGCTTATAGACTCAGGGACTGTTAACGTGGAGGGAGGAAGATCCTAAAGGGCGGAAAAACTTCTCATTGGGTTTACATGCAGCAATTTTGATCCCTGTGGTGCTAAGTCTTCTCTCTTTACTGGGCGTTTTACAAATGCGAATTATCACCTGATTACAGAATTATCAGCTCTTAGTAAATATAACGAAGCCAAACGAAATAGTTGGCCCTTCTCGCCGTGATTACCCACAGAACGACGACCCGCCGCCATTTCTCTCTGGTTTGTCCCTAAGTATCTTCCTTGCGAAAGCAGTGTACATGGTGCTAGGAACTTCCTAGAACTAGGATCTTTCTAACTTTTAGCTACGAAGACCCTAGTACTAGGAAGTTCCTAGCGCTAGGGACAGGCAAGTACAACCCATTACTAACACTATTGAATACAGCCTGCTGAAACATATGGCGCTAGCAGGATGATCCGCCTTCTAGGATCTTCCTGGATAACATTCAAAGTTCAGGAAAGAAAAAGAAAGTTGTTGTCTTGATTTTCCATCTTTGACAAAACGTGAAATTAAGCAGTCTCGCGTTGTATAGTCATGCAACGACGGCAGAGAAATGTACAAAAAAGCGTGTGATGCATGTGCAAAGTTGATTGCTTTTAATTTCGTGCCGTTCTCGTTATGTTCACCGCTGTCACTGCTTGAGCTCCCCATTTTTAGTAGCTCTGGATCAAATTCCCTGCTGCCGAGCTTGTAAATCACTAACTAGTTTTTATTTATTTTATTATTATTATTATTTTTATTAAATTGTTATTGGGACTTTGAGATCCAACGACGCGACGGCAATGAGAACGTCGCTTAAAAAGTGAATTTCGGCCGGTTCTTTCGATCTTTATCGCAATTGGTCCTACCCACTTACTTTGTCAAATGTAGGCGAACCCTCGTGGAGTTGAATTCCTGCGCACCATATCCAAGAACAGAAAGAGAAATAAATTTCGTCGTTGCTTGTTTACGTCCTCCATAAAACGCGAAATTAGGCATGTTCACGTCGTAGTCGTGCAAAAACGAGCAGAGAAATGTACAATAGGGCGTGGTGCACGTGCAAAGTTCTTGTTTTGCTGATAAAACCTATTGTTTTTTTGGCGTTCTCGTTACCATCCGTATCGTTGGATCTTAAAATCCCCAATATTTTACGTTTGGAGTATCCGTTCTACTCCTAACAGTGGGATACAATCAAAATACTGGCAAGGTCGCCATGAATTGAGTTACCTACGTTAAGGGCAATTTAGCACGTATTGCCATGTCTTCCCGGCCCCAGTTATAATGTTCAAAATTTTTTGCATAGTTATGTATTTACCTACCAGAACCTCGGTACATTACCGTTTAAGGCCCGTTTTCAAGTTAAAAAACAGTCCGTATTTCTTAAATCTAAGAATTTCTGACGGGAAAATTAAACAGTGCCCTGTGAAAACGTCGTTAAATAAGGTCTCAAGTAAACAGGTTAATTGCTTGCCCCATGATTATGTAATTAACATATTGAATTGCACTACATAACTGTCTAGTAGAGTTCATATAAACAGATAAAAACGCGAGATAAAATCAGTAACATCAATATAAAAGCAAAGAGCAAGAATATAGTCACACCAAAAGTAACAATAGACTTTGTCACGGTTTTTGACGCCATGACTGACGAGTAGGCAAACGAGTGAGAAATTACAGGCACTGAATTACAGTGTTTGTATGAGAATTTAATGTCGAATACTTTCCGTAAAACGGCTGTTGTGAAAAAAAAATGGAATTGTAAAAGACGCTACAAAGCAAAGGATTTTACTAAAGCATTTGGGGGGCTTACTTGTGCTTAAATTTCTCTAGAGGCTTGCTTTAGATTTTCCAAATATTTGTCGGTAATTTTTCCCGGGACTTTCTTAATACAGACGACAAATGTATAGAAAATTTACAAAAAGTGGTTGTAGGTCTTCTAGGGCATTTAACGCCCTCAATTCTTTTTCAGTAGAATCCTTTGGAGTAAAGCTTTAGTTTACAATTCATATTTTTTTCAGATCAGCCGTTCTACGGAAAATAATCGACATTAGATTCTCATACAAACACTGTAAATTCTCACGCGTTTGCCTACTCGTCAAGATGGCGTCGAAAACCGTGACAAGGTCTATTCGTTTTCTGTTTCTTCTTCTGTAAAGCAACTAAGCTTAAATATGGTGGCATTCGTAATATCCTCGACAAGACTAGCACTCTTGCGTTAATTAATCAGAAACACTCTCTTCAAATTCCGATCCGTTGAGCTCCGTTGGTAATTCATTACTCAGATTACTTCGAGAGGGCCCGCTCTATTACTTTCACTCGGAAGAGTCTTTTTGTAAGTTGGCCTTGTGAAGTCGGTGAATTGAACTGAACCGTTGGAAATGCACGCTAAATGTAGGTCTATAGGTGCGTTTTCGGGTCCAAACACTTATTATTTTTTTTCGATCTACAACATTCGGGCTTGAAAACAACAGTGCCGTCTGGTCTACATCATATTACAATGAGGTCCTGAATTAACCTTTTATTATTATTATTATTATTATTATTATTATTATTATTATTATTATTATTATTATTATTAGGAATGCAAAAGGAAGTCATAACTCATGACCAGCCATACGGACTGCCCCTTAGTTTTACTACTTTGCCACAGAAACTCAAAGAAGTAGGTAAGACTATAATAATACTCTGTAGAAACAACGTTCTCAAGCAAATAAAAAGATCCCACAACCGTTATAAGTTCAACAAGCTATCGAACTGGAAGAATCCTTAGCCTCGATCACAGCCGCTGAGCGGGAAATGAGCCTGCTCTCCACCCCCGGTACAGTATCCTACAATAACTACCCCCCCCCACCCCCCCTTCCCTCCACAGTGTATACAACGTTGTTATTACAAAAGAGATTCAACGGTATCTTTTTCGCTTTATTGATTTTTGTTTAATATTATATTATAGCTAAGACTGCGACTCTGTCTGATAGAGAGAATACGGAAATATAGTATACTGGAATGGTATAAAATTTAGAATTGCGTATGATTGGTTGACAATCGGACTTTTTTTTTGCCGGCTATTTTAAGCGGTGCGGTGTTTGATCTAAGGGGCGCTTTACTGCACACTCTTTGCACGCGTCTTTAAGGTATGACTAGTGCAGAGTTAACCCAGATCTGGGTAGCACTTCTGATTGGTTGGGCCTGGAAAGAAATTGGCTTCAACCAATCAGAAGCACTACGCAGATCGGGTAAAGGTAGTGACACGTCATCAGTATGGAATTTCTGTTCGACGTCATTTCGCGAGGAAACCACTGGTGACGTCGCGAAATTTCAGCCGTTTTCTGATCTCAGGCTAACCAATTGCTCTTGTAAATTATCTTTTCATTCCAGGATATTCTACGCACATTATAGGCAAATGGCACCTTGGCTTCTTTCGTTGGCCTTACACCCCGTTATACCGTGGCTTCGACTCCTTTTACGGTTTTTACGGTGGATATGAAGATTACTACAGCCATGAATATGAGGGAATCCTTGATTTTCTTGACAACAAAAAACCCGTAAGAGATAAGAGTGGAGTTTATTCGGCAACGCTGTACGCTGAGGTACTTACAGACTTCCAGATTGTCAGGAGCTTATAACTCGGAGAGAACAACTCCATACTAGGCCTATGCAAAGGCGTTTTTACGGACCAGTTTATTTTAAGACACTTTTTACTGCGTAGGGCACTTTTTACTGCGAAAATGGAATCTCCGCCACGTCTATGAACACATTCGAAGAATAAGATACCAGAAAGGAATACGCAACGTCATTAAAAGGCAAAAATTATCATTTTTAAGTCTGTAGGTTTTGCCGACTGCTTTGTGGGACTTAAAAGAAATTCTCAATTCCCAGCAAAACCGTTCTCAAAATAAACTGGTCCATAAAATTGCCGTGACACGAGCACATGGAAGTTGCTCGCTTCAGGTTATGGGCTCCTGAGATTGTTGAATAGTACTCAATACCGAAATACAGTAGAACCAAATAATATGACTTTTCCTCCATGAAAATTTGACCGTAGTCACCGGTTTAGTGTCCTATCTCCCTCCAAGGCGAGGGCTGTAAGGCTCAATTTTTGCGAGGCCTCAAAAAATTAGAGAGCTTTAGATTCTATGACGAGCTAGAGTTGAATTATAAAAGCTAGTACGACTACGAGAAAGAAATTTCCTTAATACTAAGTAGTGCGCGCGCGTGAACCAGCGTCATGTTGGCGGGAAAACTTGGTAGCCGTCGTCATATAGCGTGCCCGTGTGTGTGCGTGCCCGTCGTCACGATAGCGTGCCCTACAGTTCCCTACTAATATATACAGCTATTTCGAGAAAGGTCGTCGGATAAAGTGCACGCAACAACCCCCAAAGGTTTGTGGGTGGTTTTGAGTGCACTGTTTTTCAAAGAAATTTGAACGAATGGCAGGAGATGCCATGGACGTATGTCTGCGAGTGCTAAAGGAAAGCAACAAAAGTAGGTTCGACAACTACAGTGTCAGGAATGGTGTATTGAACATATCCCATATTACCTTTCGGGATTGTCGCGTGCACATATTTTCCGACAACAGTTTCTCGAAATAGCTGTATATAAAAAAAATTACTTGACAAACTTGTCCAGTTTTGGTGATCAAGAAATGCTTGGGAATGAATCTCGATGGCAGAAGTATTTCACATAGAAACTGGTCAGTAATTTGTTTACCCTTAGGAGTTTTTAAGAAACCGTCCCGTCGGCTTCAAAATATAAGCGAAAATCAAGTTAAAAGAACATTTCCAAATCAGTTTATGACTTGAGTTTCTTTTTCTATTAAACAGCAAGCAAGAAGAGTGATCCTATCCCACAATGTATCCAAACCCTTGTTTTTATACCTTCCATTTCAAAGTGTGCATGCACCATTAAGTGTTGATCTAAGATACGAATAGAAGTATCGACGAATTCGCAAAAAAAGGAGGCGAACTTATGCTGGCATGGTTGACATTTTGGACGAAGCGATAGGAAACGTCACAGAAGCTATGAAAGAGGCTGGGTGAGTCGTCAACGGTATAAGTTCGTTAAAAGAGACTTTTCACATTCTAAGACAAACACGCCTACGAGGACAAGAAGTTCTCTATACCAAGTAGTGGGCACGCGTGAACCAGAGTGGCAGAAAAACGTGACGACAAAAAACAATCTCAATGCCTAAACATAGTCTTCAATAACAAAACAATTGACGCGGAATAAAAAGACAGGCGACAAATGACGTCAGAGAAACGAGCGAATGAATTCCATACTGATGACGTGTTACTACCCAGATCAGGGAAGTACATCAGTCTGATTGGTTGAGGTAAATTTCTCACGCAGCACGACCAATCAGAAGCACTACCCAGACCTGGGTAATGCTTCTGATTGATTGAAGTAAATATCCCAAGAGGCACGAGCAATTAGAAGCACTACCCAGATTTGCATGGGTAGTAACGCGTCATCAGTATGATGTTATCAGTATGGAATTTCTTCCGTTCCTCCTCGGGCGCTACTTCGCGGGGAAACCAGTGACGGCGTGGTGAAATTTTCGTTGTTGTCTTACCTTTTAAAAAATATACCAAATAGCTTGACTTAGTCCCCTAACCAACACTTCTTATGAAAAGGTTGTACTTCTTTGCTTTCGTTTCAGTCTATGGAACCACACCTTGACGATTGTAACTACTGATAATGGAGGCGATCCTACCCAAGGTGGATACAACTGGCCCCTCCGCGGACAGAAAGGCAGCCTCTGGGAGGGAGGGGTCAGGGGAGTTGGTCTAGTTCACGGAAGGATGCTTCAGAAGACTGGGGTTAAGTGCAAGGAGCTCTTTCATATCACTGACTGGTATCCGACTCTTGTTAATCTGGCAGGTAAATTAAAAAAAATGTTAACTTCCATTCAAGGACATTGAGGTGCGCAACTACCTGTGCTCCAATTCGCAGATAAATAGCAAGCTAAAACAAAAATACATAAGTAAAGCCGAAGGACAGAAAGTGAATAAAACTTTGTCGAAGAAAATGAAATGTTTTCCCTGATTTTGACACATGCGAAAGCGATATTAACTGCTGCTTGAAAAACATGGTCGTATAAGACCAAGAAAGACAATTACATCAACTTATTATAAAAAGAAACACAAATTTAGAGAGAGAAAAGGGCACGCTTCTGGTTGACGAGCGTCGCTCAAAAACGATTTTGCTTTAGCTCCAACAACAACAACAACAAGCTCATATTTGCATGACCATACAAGAACCGCATTGTAAAAGCTACGTTACTTTGGTAATAATTTGTCACGAACATCAAAGCAAGCTGAAATATATCTTATGAGTTGTATATTGATAAAGGGTAACTAGAGGAGTTCATCAGTTCATTGATCATAACGTTTACATAGGTAACTGAGTAATATTTGGAATCAGAGTCTTGATTTCATATATTGTAAAAAACATTCCTAATCATAGAGTATGTAGGACAGCGAAAAAGAAAGAGAACTTGGTCTTCTATTAGATTGCTAATCTTATAAAAAACCAAGTTCAAAAAGGGCAATGCCTATTATCCTTCGTATATAGTTTGATTGCATGTATCTACCCAATTCTATGATTCTAGTTTGTGATTGTTATTCGTAGTTTTACTAAAGCCCTTCACCCAGCTGTTCCTCTTGTTAAGTGTAAGTAATTGGAGGTGGTATGATCGGTTTTAAAAGATCTATAAAATTCAAGTTTTTGAGAATGTTGAAGGGTGTTTTGCTTTCGTAGTTTTACTAAAGCCCTTCACCCAGCTGTTCCTCTTGTTAAGTGTAAGTAATTGGAGGTGGTATGATCGGTTTTAAAAGATCTATAAAATTCAAGTTTTTGAGAATGTTGAAGGGTGTTTTGCCAGCTTGAAATTTATTCCTGTTCATTGAACTTACATAGCTCCGTACTTTCTTAACCCAGGATGGTAGCAAAATTAATTTTACGATCAGTTTTAGTATACTTATTTTGTTCTCCTTAATGACTGTTAGATCGATCTCTTGGTGTTGACCAAAGACGCACTGACGCTGCTATTCGACAATTGGATGGCTTTAACATCTGGCGCAGTTTATCCGAAGGGGAGCCATCGCCACGAAGGGAGATTGTGCACGACATTGGTGACCATAGGGCAGCAATTCGTGTTGGAGACATGAAGTTGATATTAAATCAAACTGATAGGAAGAGGTATATCCCACCAGAGTTGGTTGGAAGTATTCCAGCTGAGCAAGGAAAAAAGGTCATCATGTACACTTAATTTCTTTTTAGTTGAGAGTTTAAAGGGGCTGCATTGTGTCACAGTTGCTTAATTCATTGTTAATTTAGCCAATTACGCATCCTTTAGCCTGGTTTTCACTAGCGTATAAGCTTAAGCATAAGGACATACGCACGCGCAGAATGTCACATTTGACTCAATTCTCAATACCAGCTCTCCTCAACCCGACGATAAACAAGAAGGCGGACGAAGCGTACGCCATATTGCTTTTTATATGTTTGTATGAGGTCTGGGTCAAAGTGACCTATGATTGGTCCACGGCCTTGTGCTTATGCTTGTGCTAGTCAAAGCTACGACATAAGCTTAAGTATCAAGCACAAGAAGAACGGACTTAATTTCTCCGTTTTTTTTGTACCACTGTACTTATGCTTATGCTTATGTCGACCTAGTTTTCACTTGCTTACCCATGTGCTTGTGCTTATGCTTTTGCTTATGCGTTTGTTTAAACCAGGCCTTAGGGGCTATTAAACTTAACAAAAAAAATTACTTGCAAGCCACAAAATGACAGATTCTATACCTTGTCCAGCTAATACAGTTCCCAAACATTATACCAAATGTTAAACCAACCGAAAAAAATACACTTTTTAAGACTGCTACGTTAACCCAGCGCAATTTCAATACTTTTTAATCTTCTTCAAGCTTGTCCATCCCTGCCTAATTTTGTCTTTGCTGTGTTCTAAGCCCGTTCTTTTAATGTTTGAGCAATTACTTTTTATGTTTCACTCAATTTGGTGGCAGTTTGTACTGTTAGAATTTAGTTTAAAATTCGCATCTCGTGTAACTCTTTTCTAATATGTAACATTTACTTTCGTTAGTCACAATAAATTTGCATAGCTGCTGGCCTCGTGATCATGCGTGTAAACGCTCTACATTTAGCACAAACAAAACAATCTGGTCCCCTCGTTCTCTCCCCCAGTAGGGATTGGATAGGGTGTTGGTTCCTGCAGCCTCCTCGGGCTGCTACACTATTTAATGAAAGAGTTTGGCGCCGATTCTGTGACGAGTTTCGGTTATTGTAGATATGAGTTTTCTTTTATTCCGGTGACGGAAACAAGCACCATGTTCTATTTATCTAAACCACTTCTTGAAATTAAAACCCATTTCAGTATTCAAATTCACCGTACCCTATATGTAAGAGAATCCAAGCCGGCAATAATCTTAGGGCGCTTTCCATATGTCAGAACTGGCCGGCCGGACCATTGCCGGACCAGTAAGTTTGATAATGAAATAGGCTTTTTCCAAGAGTTTTTGCTGAAAAATCATGATCTCCTTTGGTGCATACTATTCAGGATTTGAGTGATCTGGCTGGAGAATCTTGATTAAAAAAGAAATTGTCATTGCGACGGGAATGGTCTGGCCGGTCAGTTCTGAAAATGAGTGGAAAGCGCCCTAAGGCTCGATAACAAGCCGCAATTCTGAAAATGAGCCCGCACAATTAGGTACAAAGACGCACTTTGCTTGATTAACTCGTGTTCTACCTCTTAATAAAGCTTGGGAATGTTGTTATAAGCTAGAGGCTAATTCTTTTGTTCACCTCTACCCCAAGCAGTGTTGAATGCATTAAAACAAACTTGAATGCATAACGTCAACACTGCATGGGGGGGGGGGGGGGGGGGGGGGGGGGGGGGAAA